GACAGTAAAAGCTGCCTTTTATTGACACTTGACAGGATCAAAAGTTGTATTTTTTCTGCCTAGGCAGTAAAAGTGGACTTTTACTGCCTAGGCATTAAAAGGGACAGTGTCACAACGTTCCAGGTAATAATTTTACTCAATTTGGCATTTGAAATTGATGGTGACAATGACAATTGTCAAAATAATTTAATTATTTGGATAATAATAATGAATGAAATAAATATAAAAAAGATGTCCATGTGTGAATTTAAACATTCGGAGAAAAAATTATATGTTTTACATGGCAGAATAGCAGATTTAATGCCCCGGCATTAAATCTTGTACTTTTCTGCCTAGTAAAACAATAGTATATTGTTATATTAGGAGAAGAAGCTTTACTTTTTTGTGCTGAAGCAGTAGGTTTGCGAGCCGAACGTAGTGAGGCTTGCTCTAACTAAAATCTCGAGACAGTAATGAAACTTTTCACCGAGGTATGTATACTATTTTATTTACAATCATTCGAATTTTGAAATTTTTTTTGAATTAAAACTAAAAAATACAATAATTGACAATTTCATTTACTTTCGGCCCACGGGTCGAAAGTAAACTTTCGACCCGTGGGCCGAAAGTAAAAGTCAAAAAATACAATAAATTTTAAAAATTTCATTTACTTTCGGCCCACGGGTCGAAAGTAAAAGTCAAAAAAGTGACATTTTCGAACTTTTTAAAAGTCAGTAAAGTCAACATTACATGTATGATTGTAAATAAATATATTGTTGGCTTATTTAATGCAGAAATCGAAAGTTTTGAAGAGTTCAAGTTTATGGAGCATTTATTCCATGTTAAAGTGTATGCTCAACGTACGAGAAGGGATAGATGTGAGGAAGTTTTCAAAAGTGGTACCTTTCCTGAAAAAAAAGTCTGTAGGTTATCAAGCAAAGAAATCGAAAGTGTTAACGGGTGATCAAATTGGTTTGTTCATGAAAGAAGCTTGTGATGAAAACTATTTATTGTTGAAGGTAAATTGTTAAAAAAGTAAGCTTTCGATTAGTTGGTTTATTTATCACAATTATTGTTTCAGGTAGTTATGATTATGGGAATATCAGGAGCATTGCGGCGAGATGAAGTAGTTAAAATGACGATAGATGACATTCAGGAGAAAGATGCCGTAATAATAGTAACAGTTCCTGATACTCAGACTAACCACAAGCGCGTTTTCACAATCACTAATTTGAATTTTATAAAAATTTACCTCAAATACGCAGCCCTTCGACCAAAAAATATTAATAGACTTCGTGTATTTTTGAGATATGAAAATGGAAAGTGCACTGCACAAGTTGTCGGGGTGCATACGATCGGAAAAATACCCTCCATGATTGCTAAGTATCTGGGATTGCCAAATAGTGAAGCATACACGGGTCACTGTTTCAGAAGAAGCTCTGCTACGCTTCTTGCAAATACCGGTGCCGATATGTCAGTTCTGAAACGCCACGGTGGGTGGAAATCCACCACAGTAGCGGAAGGATACATAGAGGACTCCATCGAAAATAAGAAAAAAATTTCTAATTCAATTTCTGGCAGTATAGCTTCTAGCTCCAATATTAGTAATAATTATTCAAAAACACTGGATTTAGTTGCTTCAACTTCAGGAGTAAATATTAGTAATAATTCTAACTGTCATATAACTGTTAATATTTATCCTAAATAATGTATGTCGTTGTGAAGAATTTGGAAATAAAATTTATTTGTTGTCAAGCTGTTGTCAAAGTGTCAAATTTTGATTTTTAGTTTCGCGGCCGTCACCAAGGGCAACGGCCGCGAAATTGAACTTCGCGGACTGTGTGGCGTCCGCGAAAGCTCATCTCGCGGATGGTTGCACAAAAAATTATTTTATATCGTTTGTTTTTTGTAGTTGGTTGATTGTGGTGACCATCTAAATAGTCGGTGTACTTGCTCGATCTTTGAACGCAACCATATGAAATGAACACAACCCTGAACTGATTGTCAAAATTGTCAAACTTCAAAGAAAATTATTATTGCATTGTTTATTAGAATATCACTTAAAAAATCCAAAAAGAAAAAAGAAAATTGAATTTGTAAGTTCATAAAATTATATGGTTTCCCGATGAGAACACATAGGTACAGAGCCAATGCACTATCCACAAAATTTGCTTATAGGTGTCAAAGGTTGATTGAAGAATGCAAGGGCTTTAAATGCCCTCTTATACACGCATATCATACGCTATTTTTTATTACGAATGCATCATAATCTCAAAAATGTTTTAAAAGTGTTCATTCATTTTGATAAGTAGTAATTTAAATGGCAGGTATGCAGGTAAATATCTAGGTAATGAAGGTAGATCGAACGTTTCTATAGCAAACCTTTGAAAAGGTAGACGCATCATAAACATCATTTTATGCACGCTGCAGCGTGCGATAATCGTTGATTATGATGCATGCGTAATAAAATAGTATATTATGCAATGATCATGTAATGATAGCCATTAATACACGAGCATGTTGTAGGATACGAAACGAGCCGTAGGCGAGTTTCGTATATAACATGCGAGTGTATTAATGGCCATTACATGAGAGTTGCATACACTATTTTTTCTACTGCCATTGATTAAACTTATGATATTTAGATATGTCAACATTATGCTTAACTTTGAATAGAGATTTCATAATTGAGTAATCCATACAGTTGAAGGTTTCATTTTTTGTTGTAATTCTTCAAAATATACTATCAAAACATTTTCTGAGAAGGATGATGTGTTTTTGGTGTTTCCAATCCATAAATTATCCATATAATTTTTCGTAAATTTTCTTGGACTTGTCCGGTAGTATATTATTACCTGCATTTGTCGCCCTTTCTGTAATTTCTGGAGGTGTTAGTGAAAATTCCTCGTTATCGCTCAATATTTCCATAATAATGCCTTCTCCCAAACTTAAGGTATTAACTTTTAATAACAATTTGAAGTATTTTTTTTATAAAATTATTGTTTTTCGCTAAATTACCATGGAAAAGCTATAAACAGTGCTGCCAACATTCAAAAAAAAAAATTCAAAATTTTTTAACTCGTGGCGCCATCTATTGACAATGCATAATAATGAAGAAAGTAAAAATTCTTCCTTATCATTCATGATTTCCATAATAATTATTCTTTGTCCCAAACTTAAGGTAACTTTTAAACAATTCGGAGTCTTTTTTATAGTTATCAAAATAATTGTTTTACGCAAAATCACCGTTTAAAATGTTTAATATCTGAACTAGTGCTGCCATCTATCAACATTGTATAATATTAAAAATGAGTATTATAATGAAAATCTGTATCGTAATGAAGTTCATTATGATACAGATTTTAATCGTTTAATAGCGTATTATGAAATGTCAGTAGAAAAAAGATTTTATTGCATTTGACTGAATGCTTGTTCTGTAGGGCTTGAAAAAGTAACAATTAAAGGTTACGAAACGTTGCCAGGAGAAAAATTGTTTTAATTCCTAACCAAACTTTCCTATACCCAAGAATCAATCTAATTATGTATCAAGGAGACGAAACCTCATCAAATAGTTATTTACATTGTTTTAAATTTTTGGTTTCATTTTAATTGGCCTATTGTAGGCCTGGCCCCCCCGGGGGCGTAGTCACCGGTGTTCCGCGGAACACGGGCCCGGTACCTCAAGGGGCCCGGTTCTCGATGTCAATATTTTTTTGTCCTACTAAGGAGACCCTTCAGGGATTCCCAGAAAAATAGTGAAAAAAATCCTTCTCCAGGATTGGTGGTGATATGAAGGAATAAAGTTGAGAATTCAACTTCTTTATTTCCAATTTGTTTTGAAACTGCGATATTCCCTATAAAGTTCCGGTTCCAGAGGTCTTTTATTGATCTATGACAAAAAAGATCACATCAGTCATTAGTTACCTACATTCTACCTTTTAAAATGAATTTTGCAAACTGTAAAATGTCTACCTCTAAGATGTTTCCAATTTTACTACTCCGTGTTCTTCTAATAACTCTGTTAATAGCAACTTTATATTATTTTAAGTTTTTTTCTGGGATCCTTGAAGGATCTCCCATGATGTAGTGGAGTGTAGTGGAATTACCCTGTATATCTAACGTGGTAAAGACTTCATTTCTTACATTCTTATGTAGACTTATAATTATTTCTCTCATTCTATAAGGGTATTTCTGGAGTGAGATTGTACATGAAATATGTCTTGAATTTTCCGCAGAATCCAGAAATATCATAACATACAGAGGGTACGATTAAAAAAAATAAAGTTGATAATGGTACACCTGTTCTTTGAACAATCTGTATAGAAAACAGTGTTGAAAAATCTCAAGCAAAAAAACAAAATCGACGTGTCCAAGCGTTTTTCCCAGAATGCCTTCATTTATTTTATATTGAATAGAATATGTTCCATACTTTAGGTTCACCCCGAGATTCACCCTGTATATTTCAAAAAAATATGCGTATATTTCTCTCATTTTTAATTTTTTTTTTATCTCGCTGGATTAGGGCCTAGGGGCCTGATAAAATTTTTGAACACGGGCCCGGATTATCGTCACTACGCCACTGTGGCGCCCAATAAAAACAACATCAAATAAAAATAACCCACGCCCATTTTTTCCTAAACCTTTGTCTGAGCAGCTGTAGGGCAACCAAAAGAAGTGATGAAACGAACATCATTTCAATCTTGATGTAATTGATGTTGCTCTTGATTCAATGATTTTTTATTGTATTTTTATTTTATTTCTATTTATTTTTTTGTTGAGTAATTTCATTTAACTTAATTAATATTTTTATCGATGTATTTTGTCTCCATTTACAGACCCTTGATAAAGTTGTAATGAACAATGAAACGTTGGGAAATTGAATTGGAGTTTCACTACTTGCCTTGCCCTACCTCCCGCTACATATAATCGTCATTGGCGCTAAAAGCATCGACAATTTAATAAATAGTTCTGTCCGTAAGAATGTGTGTGTTTAACGTATTTTACTAAAAATACACAACAATTCACTTACCCAAAGGTCCATAGCATTCTTCGCTAAATTTCTCTCCCAATATAGGAACCAACAGTCCCATCATCGCTTGCGGAAACTCAGCCATCAAAAACAATAGCAACACTGCCAGCAACATCTTTGTCGTCCTGTGAAACTGTTTCACCTTATCTGCCTGCTTCTGATTCAATTTTTTCTTCAACAATTTCGATACGCTGCCGTCAGCATGTAACGCCTTCCGTCTTTGTTTAGTTTTGAACAGTTCTATTACTAAGAACGTAGAAAGCACTACTAGAAGGATACATGGAATAAGTTTCAAAACAATTCCGTAAACATAGAAACCTATATCACGGAATATAGTGTTTCGATAGTTGGTGAAGTAAATAGTAAAATTCGTAATATTATCCATATTCCTAATTAAAGTTTTATTCAGCACAATTGTTCCGTCAGACAATTGAAACGCTTCCTGTTCGTTAATTTTCATGGACGTTAGAAGCGGAGTACAAACACAAGCGCAAAACAAATAAGTGAACACAACAGTGTATTTAGTTCGTGATTCATCGCACCAGTCCTGATTATTTTGGGGAAATTTCACTGCGATATACCTCCAAATAGCTAAAATAATTGCTAAGCTGCATGATATGAAATGAAAGGCGTTAGTGAAAACTGCATGGAAAATTAGAAACGATGCAAAATTGTAAGTGTAGTAATAATATGTGCCTTTATCTTGAAGATATGAAAAGGGCATATATTCTAGCATAACAATAACATCCGCCGTTGCTAGAGCTGTAAGGATATAGTTTGTAGGAGATTTCATTTGTTTGGTGCTCAAAATGTATATGTTGAGTGTGTTAAAAATGGAGCCGAGTATGCAAATGATAAAGCTAAGGTATATATGGAAGCTGCGAAAATCTCTGCTGAACTGCTTCAAATTGCAAAATGTAAAGGTTGAACTCATTTTTTTTCTAAATTGATTTGGTTTCTCTTGATGAAATATGTGTTGCTGTTGCTAGGATCTTGGACATTTTCTTCTCAAACTCGTAGTCATCTGAAATAAAATGGGAAAAATTAGTAAGTTAATTGTCGGTTCATAAAATACCTACGTTAACGATTCAAATTTTTTCCAAATTGATACATGATAAATGAGCCAACCAGGAATTGTGTTCAGAAATTCAAAGGAAGGCACCTGTTCACAGCCTTAGGAGAGACCGAAGTAATGCAGAAAACTGTAGGTACCTACCTACTTAAACGTTATATATACTCCTGGACAAAATTATTGCATCACCACTGCACATAAGCACCATAAGCAGTGGTGCGATAATTTTGTCCAGGAGTATATTTTAAAAATGGTATTTTTTGCGAACAATATAAACGTACTAAAACTTTATGTTTATTTTTTTCAAAGATTTTATGTGTTACCTATGTGACCAAAATAGCCAAGCTGCTTACAAGTAGTCCAGAACTTTTACCTAAATATAATAGGTAAGTTTCAACGCTCTTTTAATTATTATTCTTTATTGAACTAACCTTTAGTTACGATTAGGTCCTTAATTATTACCAAAGACATAAATTCAAAGTTTTTTCGTTTTATCAACCGTAGTCGAGCTGCACATCTAGTTTTTTTTTCACCATTCATTAAAATTCTCATTGCGATTTTGACCCGTCGGTCGTTACTAATTTAAACTTTTTGATAAATATAGTTTGGCGTTCACCCTCTATAAGTAAAACCAACCTTTATAGTTTTATGTTCATAGCTTCGTTATAATTTTTCTTGTAGGAATTTTAAGTTCAATCTCGATACGATTAAATTGATTTCGCTACATTACCATTCTAAACACGTGGTAGGTGGAGCGTGGAAGGGAGGGCATTCCTGGGATTTTCATCCCGCCAATTTATTGCTGCTCATTTATTACATTTTCCTCTATAAGTTGAGCATTAAAAAAGAAAAGGCTGGAATACGGGAATCAACAGTGTATTGGAGAGCTGATAACTATTCAATTTTTTTTCAACAAGTCCTACATATTAACGCCCATTAATTTGCCACGCTTTTTCTACTTCCTTCTACAAGACGATCTTTGGCACATTATTGTAGAACTCTATATTTCTTTGGTATGGTGAGTGTGAGTGGTGAATTCTGTAAGTATTCGGTTCTGGAGTAGATATTTCTTATAAGGTATTTTGTTCTGACATCATAGTCATGATAATCGGTGTAAACTTTGAAGCTAGAGTTTGATTCTAGTAATTTATTTTTAACATTGTATATTGCAAAGTTTGTTCAAACATTTTTATCTGTCGGATTTTTAGGAAAAGATATTTTGTTTATACAAAGTTTGTGTTGCAGTGAAGCAATTTGAGGGAAATGTCGTTTCAACTGACTTATTTTGTAGAGGTCCCACTGTTATATCGGGTCTTCAAAAAAAAAAAAAATCAAAGATTGCTATGGTTTTTTAAACGTATGTCTTTAATTTTGTCAATGAACTTTAATGTCAAAATTTCATGTCAAAAATCCTGACCATTAAAGAAACAATAATGCGACGTACGTTTTCGTAACCAAAGCAATCTTCGATTGGTTTTTTTTCTGAAGACCCGATATATTGTTCATCACTGGGGGTTTTATTGATTCTCTGTTAGTAGAGTAGGATCAAGCTTTGGCATTTACCACGGAATCCCATTTTTACAAGTTTTTCAGGCGTAAGCTCAAAATTGACCGTATCAAGTCAAATGCTTTACGGAGATCATGAAAAACTAATGTGAAATATTTATTTTTGTCTTATTTACCGGAGATAGTAGTCCAAGAGGTCTGCAGTAGCTGAGTATTATTATTATTGTCTGATGTCCAATTGACCTTTTCAATTTAGAAGCCTCTCTCTCTCTGGCGTCAGACTGTCAGATGCCAAAAGAGTATGAAAATGATTGACAGCTATTGACAATGGTTTGTTGATAAGAGTTTTATACGTGTGAGACTGGAAACTATTATTTCCTCGGTTTTTTCAAAGTTTTTTCCTAACAATGGTGATTGTGTGTAGTGTGCCTTATCGTGAAAATAATTCCTATTCACCGGCGGACGTGTCTTTCCATAAGTTTTCATCAAATCCTACATTTGTCAAAATTTGGATACACAAAATCAGAACTGAGGCGAAAAGAGCTAAAAGGAGTCAGCAAACCAAATGCAATTGAACATTAAAAATTATTTAAAAATAATAAAAATATATGAAAAAAATCAATTCGCCTTTTTGTCAAGAATGCTCGATTAGTTGGATTTTCAGTCAACGATGTCGCTGTAATTCATAACCGGTACATAACATTGCAGATACTTTTCTAGAGGTGATACGTTCTGTGCGGTTTAGTGCGTATGGTTTTTTAAAATGTTGTCCATTTTTTGAAAAAACATGATATCAGATAGCGAGGAATCCATAAACGGTACTCCACCGGAACTGAAAAGAGCGGCTGAAAAAATTGAAGAAAGCTTATTGCCAACTAAGAGCAGGGTAAGATACGAAAAAGCTTATCACATATACCAGAGCTGGTGCGCTGAAAATAGAGTGAAACATTTTGGATCAGAAACAATTTTGTTAGCGTATTTTGGCGAAATGGCGAAAAAAGCCAACGACTTAATGGGCTACTTATAGCATGTTGAAAACGATGATTCAACTCAAGGAAAAGATGGACATCTCCAAATACGGAAAGCTTCAAACATTTCTAAAACGACAAAATGTAGGTTTTAAGCCTAAGAAGTCCAGTATTTTTTCGAGACAGCACATTGAAGATTTTTTAAACAAGGGTCCCGAGGAATTTTTGTCTATTAAGGTAGGTTTTTGAATTATTTATAGCATTAAATCTGAATTTGAAAAATTACGCATCACAAAAGATCATCAGTTTAATAAAGAAAAGGAAGATTTTTACATGTTTTTTATTCATTGTTCTAGGTAGCGCTTATTATTGGTGTGTCCGGGGCGCATCTAAACATTCCGGTATAGGATTCGGCACCTAGGCATATTTCATTGGTCCGTTTGAATTCGGACCGCCAATTGATGCGGAGTGCCGGAATCGGTACTTGAATGTTGAACGGTGCTGAGCCTCAGGTCAGAATGGTCCATTAGCAACAGCCATGTGGAGTGCCGAATCTAAGGTCAAAATGTTAAACAGTGCTGAGTATCAGGTCCGAATGTTGCCATGCGTTTGGCGCGGTTTTTATATTAAATCAGCTGTCCACCTCCTTCGTGTTCCTCTTAGCTACAATTTTGCGGCGGATGCGGTTTATTTCGCCGTTGCTTCATGTGTTCTTGTGCTTAAGGTTTAAAGTCAACCCCCATTTTCTGAACCTTGTGTTCAAAAATTCCAAAAAAAAATATATGTTTTATGGTTATTGATATACTTTAATCCATAATTTTTTTAAGCAAATTTGACTCGCCATTTTTGAGTTATATCGCAAAAACTGAAAAAAAAGTGGTTTTTCACCATTTATTTCAAAACGAAGAGATAAAGTTTCCCGTTATTTTTATTACGAACTACTATTGCAATTCTACGCGACATATATTTTTTTCAAATGTTTTGAACTTGTAGTTTTCTCGCTATTGCAAGAATAGTTGGAAATACGCCTGTAGCTACACTGTTTAAAAATAAATCCGACGGATGAACGTTCAAAATTATTTGTGTTGGTCCAAACTACAACCCTGTTTATGTAAAACAGAATAATACTTCGAATTTCCGCAAAAAAAAGAAAAAACTTTCCATCATACAATTTAACCAAATGCAGATTTCTATTTTTTTTTGACTATCAAGTTAGGGCACACTATAGGGGCGATAGTACTGACATCTCGCGTTGCTGCAATAAACAATAGGCCTGACTTTAAACCTTAAACATGCAAGATGAGTATGCCTGGATCATTTAAACACTTTCAATGTGGTGAGCAAATTTACCGAGCCAACATTTTGGAGGAAAACGATATAAAGCAATGGATAGACGAGTATAGTGATATAACATAGACGAATTGGAATGTGAAGTCAGCGAAAAATAATTATAACAGATTCAAATGCAGGTTTGTGTTCAATGTCAATTCATTGACGTAGAATCTTCTTGGATGCGAATAGAGTTTGGAAAATTACATTTTTTAGATATGTTTTTGTATGGCATCATAGTGCTTATAAAAAAGTGGATCAAGGAAATAATAAGAAAGGAAAATCCAAAAACTGCTGTTGCCTGGCTTCAATTGATTTTTTAATTAAACTAAGCACCACAGATACCAATAAAAAAGATAAATATATTAGGGTATTTATTTTCAAAATTTTCTATTCTAATTTGCCAGGTTTCAGGTTTTTATATTCCCTCCCCCCCTGGGTCCGCCACTGCAAATTATTGTCCAAGATTTTTTGAAATGTATCGTTGAAATAAAATAAATGTGTAACAAAAAGTAAATAAAGTGTGTTTGTTGATTTTGTGCCGCGCTAACGGAGTAACATTCGAACCTGCAGCTGGGCACTGTTTAACATTTTGACCTTAGATTCGGAACTCCACATAGTACATACCATTCCGACCTGAGACTCAGCACCGTTCAACATTCAAGTACGGATTTCGGCACTCCGCATTAATTAGCGGTTCGAATTCAAACGGACCAATGAAATATGCCTAGGTGCCGAATCCTATACCGGAATGTTTAGATGCGTCCGGGGCCTGCAGGAGCGATGAACTTCTCAAAATGAAGGCAAATCACGTTAACCTCCTCGAACACAAGATTGCAATTGAAATACCGGACACCAAGACTTACAAAAGTCGATCTTTTCTGATAGTGGATCAAGATTGGGTGAAATTCGTGAAAA